TTAACTTCCAGGAGCAGGTAACTTACCAGGTCCTAGTTGGCTGGATGGAGCTACATATATGTTGCATGATGTTCACTTCTCTCCCAGAGCCACTACAGTTTATTTCCCATTTCCCTTTTTATCTTGTGAAATTGAAAACACACAGAAAAATGCCCAGAGCATAAATGTACAGTTTAAAAATTTGCTGTGAAACTAGCACTTATGAAACTAACACTCAAGTCCAGAGCTGGAAATGGAACACTGCTGGCCCCTCCCAGAAACACACTTACTCCCATTCCCCCCAGCAATAATCACATCCTGACCTTATGGTATTAATAACCTTGCTATTCTTTACACTTTTACTGCTTTATTGTGCATTTCTAAACAATACATCTTTTTTGATTTTATATGAATATAATCATCAGTATGTATTCTACGAGGTCTGGTTTCTTTGGTTCAACATTGTGTCTTTCATCTTCTGTTGTCACATGCAGCTGTGACTGACTCAGTTTCACTGCTGTGGAGTATTTCACTGGAAGAGTATGCCACACTTTGTTTATCCATTATCTTGCTGATGGACATCTAAGTTGTTTCTACCTGAGGCTCTTAAACATTTCTGCCTCTAATCATCTTGGTGTCTATAAGTGTGCATTGCTGTAGGAATAGCTCTAAGTATGAACTTTTTGGGTCACAGGGTAGCATATCTTCAGGTTTATAAGGTATCACTAAACTGTCTTCCAAAGTTGATATACCAAGAAACCAGTGAATTTTCACAAAGCAATATACAGACTGAAAAGTAGAGGTGGGAGAGGGGAAGGGGAGGAGGCTGAAGAAGGCAAATATTTTTTCAAGACTTAGCTAGTTGAATCCTAGTTAATGCCCTTCCCCATCAGTATTTGAGTTCATCTGAAACATACTAGAAAAGATGATATGTCTTTACCTATGTTCCCCATTCTGTGCCTGTGGGTCAGACTTTTACAGGTTGCCTATAGCACTTTCGAGATTTTCTAACTTGTCAAGGTATGGACGAAATAATTAATCCAAAAGTAATCAGAGTTGCAAGGAAACGGAATGTGTTGGATCCTCAATAAATACGAATGATTTTTGTACTTGATGTTTCATATCTCAAAGACAAATGACAGTTAATATGAATCAAGAAGTAATCCCGTGTGCCTGGATGCAAACAGCCAGTTGTAGAAGGCTGCACTGTGCAAAGTGAATTTACGTAACTTGTTATGATGGACTTTCCTGAGAGGACAGTTGCATTTCATAGCATAAGCATTACTGGCAGAGGTTTCTAAAGACCCAGAGCTTTATAGAAAACAGTAACTTCTCACTGATTAAGTTCTTACTAAGGTAAAGCTTCTACAAGTCTTCACAGAAGCCCCATTTTACAAATGATAGCACTGAGGCTGAAAGACATTTTAAACCATGTCCAGGTCACTGACAAGGATCTGAAACTACTTTTGACTCTGTTGGGTGGAGGGAACTTGGTACAAACACTCCAGAAAACTGGCCATTTCTTCCAGTGCTGAACATTTGAATACCCTGTGACCCAGCACTGACACTCCTGGGTACATATGCAGGAAGAATAAAGACATATATCCACTAAAAGACACGCCCCAGAATGGGAATAGTGTCATATTCATACTAGTTAAAAATTGGAAACTTCTCAAATTTCTATCAATAGCAAAATAGATAAATACACTGTGCCGCATTTGCACGTGGAGCCCTCTGCATCAGTGAGAGTGGACGCTACACACAAGCGCACGGATGAATCTCACCCACGTGATTTTGTAGCAAAGAAGACGGACGTACAATAGAACATGGTGTATAATTTCTGCTGTGTAGAGTTCAGGATGGGCAAAATGAATCTATGCTGTTAGAAGTCAAAGTACCAGTCATCCTTGAGGGTAGAGGAGTAACTGGCACAAGGCGGGTGCCTTCTGGAAGCGTCTTGATCTGGGTGGTAATTATACAGGTGTGTTCACTTTGTAAATTTCATGCATTTTGTGAGTTTTCATTGAGCTGTGCACCTATGAGCTGTGTGGTTTTCTGTGTGTTCTATACTTCAGTAGAGAATGTTTGTCATGCTTCTGACTGTAGATCCCAGGTTGCCCCACTTGTCATAGGGACCTGTGATAATCCTCCTTGTGTATGCTAACCATGAAGTTTCTACAACAAATGCTGGCCTCCTTTTTACCAGAAGACAAAGAATGGTCCTCCAGGATGCCCCAATCCCAGTCTAGACAGTAAACAAACTGGCTGCAAGTCAGAACCGCCTGCAAAGTGTTGTAAAAATTCTGATTCCTGGGCCCTCCTTCTCCCTCGATTTTCATTCAGCAAGTCTGTGGGGGTTCATCCAGGTTTGCTAATCACTGCTCTGGAAGGGACACATTTATTACTCCTACCTTGACATTCTCCGAGTTATCAATGGTGACACTGTTGGCATTTTTGTTGGGACAGTTATTGCTGTTCGAGTCTGTCCTATGCATAGTGGGCTGTTTAGCACCCCTGGCATATGCCCACTGGGGGTCAGTAGCACCCCTAGTCTTGTGAAAGGCAAAAATACCCCACGCATTTCCAAATGTCCCCCTCCCCCATCAAGTTGGCAGAAGAGTCCACACTTTCTTCATCAAATGGCATTCCCAAAGCTTGCTTATCTCTGAAGTTTGACATGTTGGAATTTCCCCCTCTTTCTCCAGAATCTTGCAGTCTTCCAATCCTCTCAATTGCTCTACTCCCCCTTTCTGGAAAGAATCCAACTCATGCCCCTTAAAGTATGACAGGGATCCAAGTGCATTATCCTAATGGATTCACTTTACAGAGAACAAAAAATTTACATAGCGCAAAGAATGAATCTCTAATGTTGGAATCTTACATACCACCCAGCAAATGGAAAAGGATGGGCAAGAAATCTTCATAGGCTCCTTAAATGACTGCAATACGTAGTTTCTTACCCCTTCCACCATGAATCCAAATTACTAATGTTGACCAGGTAGAAAGATTTAGAATCTCATTAGCATTGCAGACAGAGGCAGTTTAATAGCAGGCCTCCAAAAATCAGTCTCAGCCATTGGTTCTAATCTTTAACACATCTGCCCGCTGGAAGTTTAATTTATCAATTAGCAGCAGCACTACCAAACTGGCTCTGAGAATATTGAATTGAACAGGGCTAGCATCTCTGAAATAAATGCCCCAAATAAATAACTGAAAGTCACATTCATTTGGCTGCTGAAACAATTACCACCTAACCCAATCATGTTGAGTTGCAAGAATGGATCAGCCAGAAGACACTTAGTCTCTGCCTTCTGGTCTGGTTTGGGAATGAGTACCAAGATCTTTGGGAGTTAGAGGACATAAACAACAAAAACCAAATCTGATAATGCAGATATTTGCAGGTCATGGTGTAGGCACTCAAAAGAGATGGAATGTGGCTGTCAATCCAGGCATAACATTGCATAGCAGTATGTGCCCTGCAAATTTCCAAAAACAAATGAGACAGCGTCTAATTCTGGATGCAGACCTGGGTTCAAATCCTAGCTCTAGCACTTCCTAGCTGTGTACTCTTAGAAAAGTGCTCAGCCTCTCTGAGCCTCAGCTTCTTTGTGTAAAATGGAGACATGACTCCTTATCCCATAGATTGCTGTGAGGATTAATTAAGATCAAGCAGGTAAGCATGCTCAGTGACTAGTATATAATAAGCAATCAAGAAATAATGGTCAATTGGTTTTTTAAAATTATACTCTGGAGAGATAGTCCATGTTCATGGAAAGGAAGACTCAATATTGCCAAGATGCCAGTTCTTCCCAACTTGATCTACAGATTCAATGCAATCCCAATCAAAA